TGAGATGTCTAAAAGCTTATAGAGATTTTTGTTTCCTGCGTTCTCTAATTTGGGGGAAAAGGATGCTGCTTAGGTTTAGGTTTCACAGCACAGAATGCTTCCATGTAGCGTGACTCTGAAAGGGACGCACTTTAGCAAATTCAGCTTTTGAGTAAATGGACCCTTTTTCCATTTTTATCCCTCTACCTGCTTTCTACTTTTATGCTAATTTCTTGGTTACAAGAGTTGGATGGACTCCCAAGAATCCCTTCAGCCCTCACTGTGCCCAGAGCTGAGGCAATTTGAGATAATTAGGGATAAACTCAAAGGGAGATGCAGGAAACATTGTAGATGCAAAGGTTATGAGCAGTGGAGGGATAGGATTCTGAACCTGGAGGACTACAGACTGGTTCCTCCCTGGCGCCACTCCTGCCTCTGCTCTTCATACCTGTGCAGCTACCTGCTCTCCTCCCACAGCAAAGGCAGTTTGTGAGTAGGCAGGTAAGCGGCATTCCCATTTCAAGGGTCTTTGTGAGAGTTACACCTTCTAGAATTTGATCATGTAGATATCTTATAATAGAATTAGAAGCATAGACGCAATAGACATTGGCCACTGTCACCCAGGCAGAAGGCATGTGGGGGCCAGAAAGAGCAGAAAATGACCTTCCCATCAGGGGACTTGGGTCTGAAACTGCCCACGACCTGCCAGGAGCTTGAAAAAGGCCAATGTAGACACACCAGAATCCAGAACCTGTCCACTTCTGACTTAGGGCTTCCCTAGCAGTGGCTTTGAAGAAATCTGGCTTATGCTGTGGAGGACTGAAACCCAAGTTTAAAAAACAATTCCTGTATCCAATACCCTCAGATTTTTCCAATGATATTTCACGTCACAACCCAATAGCCTGATTTCACAATCCACTAGTTGGTGAGTCACACTTGAAAAACACTATTGTGTTGAATTGCATCGTCGGAGTCTGGCACTTCTTTCTAAATTAACACCATCCATTTCCCTAATGTCATATTTATTGTCGTTTGTGATTAAGTTATCACCTTATTGTAGCATTCTTGACATAGACTGGGGTAGGCACTTGGGGAATCTTTCTGGTCTATATGAAGTTCCCAGAGAAACCAAGAGCCTCTTTCAGCCCTTTTAAAAGATTGATGGCTGGACTCGTTGTGGGCTCAGTCCTAGACCAAGAGAGACATAATTACATATTTACCTTATATATGGACACTTTGTGTGCAGCTCTTTGCCTAGTATGTAGCATGTAAGAAGTGCCCACACCTGTATATTTTTTTCTTGCTTGTACTAGTATTCTGCTGAGTGAAAAATGTTTATCATCCTGCAGTTCCTGTACCTCACAAGTCTGGGCACCATGCTGAGGTCCTTTGCTCAGGGTCTCACGCAGCTGAAATCTGTGTGAGAAAATCTGGATTGTCTAGGTTGTCACCTCATCTGAAGCTTGAGGTCCACTTGCAACATCATTCAAGTCACAGCAGAGTTCAGTTCCTTGTTGTTGGGCTATGGGCCTGCCTTTCTGGCTGTCCTCTGGTGGTGGCACCAGGCTCCTGGCCTTCTCCCTCAGTCCTAGCTGCGTGGCCTCTTACACCATGGCAGCTAGTCCTCAGAGCCCCCATCTGCTATGGCAGCGTCTTCTACAACATGCCATTTATGTTCCAGATCATGAAGTGACCATGCATTGTAGTCACAGGACCCCACACAGCCAAGGGAGGGGAATCACCCAGGCTGTGTACCCATTTGTATACTCATGTGGAAACATGAATTTCACAGCTACTAGGGATTTTGGGGCAGCTTGGAAGCAGAGGAGAAACTTCAGGGTTCAAAGGAAAATGTTTTAGAAGGAAAATAATCTCTGATACGTCTCTTGATGCTTTCCCCCCTCTAAAATGTCAGTCTTGGCGTTATCTTGACTTTTGCTGTCCACATTGTCACATTTACCACATCTACTATGATGACTAAGGACTGTTTCTTTGCAAATTCTTGATAGGAAACTGTTCCATCTTTTTATGTAAAGAGAATTATCTGAACTCTACCTCCCTTGTGAACCCTAAAAGCAAGAAGTCCTTTGTCTCCCTTGAGTGTTCCCCCTTCTTCCACACACATATGCACACCTGTGTGCACATCTGCACGAGGGGGCTCACACACATAGAACACACACATACATGCTTCACTTACCTAAGACTTTTGAGATTCTTAAGTGATGGGCACTGAGCAGCTGTTGTACATGATGCTCTGGGCTATGTGGGTAGGCAGTGGTGTTGGTGCAGTGGTGGGGTACTTGCCTGTCCAGTTCTGGACTAGATCCCCTGATGCTCCAGAGCTCTCCCTACAGAGGGGGGTTCCCACCTACTGTGTGCTTAACTGTTCTTTGCGTGTGGCCGCATTGCCTGTGGGACTGGATGAGTGTCTGTGGCCCTAGCTCCCGAGAGGAGCACTCCCCCAATATGGGGGGCATGTGCTGGTCCAGGGCACTGTCAGCCAGATGTCACCTCTGTCATCCTTAAACATCCTATTCAAAATTGTATTGAAAGCATACTTTGTACAAAAATGAAGAATGATGTAAAATATAGATAAAATAAAATGAAGAGAAAAAATATTGTATTGTCCCTCCCCATCCCCTGTGCTCTCAAGTTGCTGCTCCTCCTTTATTTCTCACCATAGTGGAACCTATTCCCTTTGAATTTAGCTCCTATTTTACTTGCTTATTGTTTGTCTTCCTCTCCTAGAGAGAAAGCCCTTCCATGCGGGGACTCCTATGTTATGAGTTTAATTGCTATACCCAGGACACTGTAGAGTTCCCAGTTGCGCTTCGATGACTACGAGTGCATTAGATGCGTGGGTTCTGAGAACCAGTAGCATATTTAGGAGTACATTTTGGTTATTCTGCTAGATGTTGGTTAGTTGATGCAAGTGAAACAGATTGGTTTATGTCACCAGTCTGAGAGTGTTTCATCAAAATTATAGCAATTTGGCATACTAAGTAATCTTTCCTTGGCCCTGAGAGGATTGGAGAGTGTGTGTGTGTGTGTGTGTGTGTGTGTGTGTGTTGGGGGGGGTGTTGCTCACCTCAGTTTGTTGTCCTTTGTGATACAGGATTCAGCAATGATTGGGTATTGGATTTGAAGTGATAGAAGTAAGCCTTAGGGCCTCAGGGTGTGGCTAGAATTGAACCTCCTGTCTGTTGAGCTCCATCTTAACATTTAACTCTATTTCAACTTATAACCTTCCATCTTAACTCATAATTCTCTGTCTCAACTAGTGTTTCCTGGGGAGTTATTCCCTCACACTTTCTACATTATACAAACCAGTTTATATTGGAATTATCTCTAAATTCAATGTTCAGGATCTTGGATCAAATTGTGTATTTCTCCCAACTGATTTTTAAGCTGTTGTTATTTGGAAGTAGGCTTTTATTAGTTGTAGATGTATGTTGAAAAGAAGGGATATAAAAAGGGAAACAGTGAATAAGGGGTGCACATGGAAAACATATGAATTTCACAGCCACTAAGGATTTTGAGACAGCATGGAAACAGGAGAAACTGCAGGCTTCAAATACTGTTTTAGAAGAAAAATGATATATACTGTTTTAGAAGAAAAATGATCTCTGATGTGTTTCCTGATGCTTTCCCCCTATAAAATATCAAACTCTTTAGAGGATTAGGTATGGCACTTTATACTCTGAAAATACGTTCTGGGGTTGTATCAGAGTGGAAGCTCAGTGCATCTGATCCAGTAGAGCCAGGTTCTTGGAGCTTCTGAGTCCTGAGGCCGAAATGGTGAAGGCTCATCCTTCCCAGTCATTTCTTATACAGTCTCCTTTCCCTCCAGGCAAGATGATAGGAAGGTGTATGTCTGATTCTCTCTGCTTGCAAATTATCAGCCTTCCCCAAGTTCTTCTTGAATTTTAAGAAGCTTTTCCTGTCCGGAGTCTTCTGGGTACTTTGAATGGCACCAGGTTGGCTGTTGGCCATATGGTTCAGGCCTGAATCCTGCTGCCTGAAGTTCCTGTTTTGATAGTAGGTCCTGTTAGATTTCATCATGTTACAAATTCTCTCTCTCCCCATTTTGAGGTGAACTAACTTTTTTTTTTTAAAGAATAGAAGTGGCTGGAGCCTGGAGCCTAGTTACATGGCCATTTATTATTGAGAAACATTCACCCCACTCCCCACCTGCTGTCTCCTGGGCTTACACGGCTCAGTGCAAGCTTGTTTGTGATCGCCAGAGTGCAGAACCAAAGGACTGGTGTTGTCACAATGTGTTCTCTTTTTCTGAAAAATGGGAGCAGTTGTGCTGGGGAAGGGCAGAAATATTGAGGATTCTGAGTTGACTGCTTGGGGCCTGTACTGGATCCTGTCCTCCATGAGGGCTGTTATTGGGCTGTCACTGAGTGACATCACCTGTACCCTGTCCTGCCCGGGGCCCAGGCCTCAGGCATTGGGGGAACAGAGAATAATGTGTGTCCTTGCCCACTTTATCTAAGGATGGTAGCCTCACATCTGACAACAGCATTGTGAAGGAGGCCTGCCCATGGGGAAGCAGACTTTCAGAGGCTCAATAACTTGCCAGAAGTCCTGCAGCTAGCAAATGCCAGAGCAGGGCTAAACCTTTTAATTTGTCTGACTCCATGACCCCTGCTTTTACCCTCCCTGGCATAGCAGTGCCGTGTTTCCATCTTTGGACTCTCGGGATTGAGCTGAGCAGGTCGGCAGCACGCTGCAGTCTGTTGTCAAGCTTCCTTCTGGTTGCAGCACTGGCAGGTTTTGGTCATGGCTGCGCCCCAGATGGAAACTGCTGTGATTAGCACACAGAGACGGGCAGTGACACAGTGCTTTGAATTACACCCACCATGTCCACCTTAGCACCTTCCCTGTGGGCCACCAGACCCCAGAATGGTCCACTCTGCTAGTTGCTGTTCTATGCACTGAACTCTGCCTGGACCCCATGACTGGCCTTCCTTCCATCTCTGGACACTGACCAGCTTGTGCCCCTCTCTCTGCAGATGCCGCCCCTATGAGGACTGCTGTGGCTCCCGGTGCTGCGTGCGGGCCCTCTCCATACAGAGGCTCTGGTATTTCTGGTAGGTCATAACTCTTCTGGTCTTGGGTGCCTTTCTCTAACCTCACCCCCTCAAGGCTCTGCCCACAGTCAGTATCATCACCACAAGCGTTGCTTCACCTTCACCTGAGATCATGACTTCTGGGAGAACCTTGGTCGAGAAAGCAGATACATTCAGGTTTGGCTTTGTGATGAGCAGTTTTGCTCACAGTTTGCAGAAAACCCATTCCTGTTTCTAGGAGCTGTGGCTGGGGAAGAACCACTTTTCTTTTGGAAGGTGGACTAGCCCTTTAGCAGTTTCTTTGCGACTTTCTGAAATGGAGCTCTTTGAAAGGCTGAGCATCAGAAAACTGAGTGGTAAAGTTTCTGTTGCCCAGAAGTCTTCCATACTCACACTGTCTGCTGAATCCTGACTTTCAAGACAGGCAGTCTGCATTCCTGTCTCTCTTCCAGCTGGAGGAGCTGTAAAGCCTCATTGCAGACAACAAGGGAATGTGCTAGAAGGTTGTAGCTGCACATTTCAGGAAGGGAAGGGGCTGGCTTCCTGTCGATTGCCATCCTCAGAGATGACATCTTGGGTGTCCAGGGCTTATCTGTCTCTATAGATCAGACATGTTGTTTCAGATGTCAAAGGAAAGCAGAGCTTATATGGGAAAGGATTTGCCTAAAACCAGCTCCTGTTCTCTTCAGCTACAGTGGAACTGTAACTCCAAAAAGGGTTAAAACTTCACTAGCTTTAAAACTTAAGCTTCTGTATGGCTGAAAAATTCTGACACTACTGATTTCTTAAGACTTTAAGACCTTTACTGAGTATGTTCTAGTAGCCACTTGAATTTTTGTGGTGAGGTTTGGGCTTTCCAGCTTGACACTTGTTCCCTTGGGCATCGGCCATTTGGAGACTGACTCAACTGACACTGGTGGGGTCTCCCTCATGGCTGGCTCATAAGGACAGCCCCCTGGACAATGGTTTGTTGCTGCCAGCTTATTCCACCTCATGGTTACTAATATCTAAAACTCCATATGATCGGTGATGATTTTGTTTTTTGTCTTAAGATTTTCTGAATGTGAACACCGTGGTGTACACTTCAGGTGAGGGGATTGCTACCAGTGCTGGGGAGAGGAGGACCAGGAGGAGGTAGCCTTTGAGACCTTTACCTAGCTTCAAGCATATTTTCACAGAGAATCTTCCTCTGTGGATCTTGTAGGAGGAAATAGGAGTCCCAAAAGGGCTCTCAGGTATGTCAGGTTGGTTTGAAGCACCTAATGAATGGTGATGAGGTTGCTGGACTGCTCCTAAAATGAAAAATTTGTTGACGTTCAAGTGTGATACAATTAAAGAGAAGAAAATGCTGATGCTCCAGGCTGACTGGGCTGCAGGGCACCTCAGCATTCCCTGAGCTGGTGGCCAGGCCTTTTGGAGCTACTGGCCCCGGTCTCCTGTGGGTGGACTCAATGCACAGGTGACATAGTGGGATCCCTGCAGAGATGTCTTGACGAGTCCCATCTGGTGAGAGCAGGTCTCAAAGTCAGAGTGCCAGATGACAGGACATTTGATGTAGTTAGAATTGAGGCTCTGAGATCTCTGCTAAACTCAATATGTAACCAGAACACTGTGAGATGTGTCTGAGGTGACCTGCTGATGTCAAAGGACATGTTCCTTCTCTCAGTAAACATAAGTGTCCCGTGCGGGCCAGAGGCCCATGGAGAGGCCCTGCCTGCAGACTGGCAGAAGAGACAGATGTCTTAACAGGCTCTTTACATGTGGAGAAGATGAAACAGTGGCATGGAAAAGGCATGGAGCCTCTGATGGCAAGAAAGTGCAGGGGGCGGGGAACTACAAAGCTTCCAACTGAGCCTTGGAGAGGGCATTCCAGGTACAGGGAGTAACATCCCAGAGATGGGGACAAAAGGTTGGACCTGGTTGAGGGAGTGATGGAACACTCACAGTGTGGCCCAGGTGTTTGGAGGGGAGCACAGAGGGTGAGGACAGAGCTGGCTGTGTGACAAGGGCTTCCTGTGGAAGGAGGAAGGGCTGCTGTGCAGACTGGCTCCATGTGACTGCTCAGGGCTTCTGGTCCCTTATCACGAAGCAGTGGTTCGGAGGAGAATGCTTTCAGAAGTTCTGGCTACCTCTAAAATCTTGAGTAATCTTTACCTAGATGGTCTACATGAAATTGCCAAGATTAGAAAAAGGTGGCCAGGCAGCACTTGGAAGTCCAGGCAGACATGGAAGCTCACTACCACCGAGCAGACGCCTGACTGGCTCGTGAGAGCCCTGAAACTGGAGTTTCTACTCTGAGTCCAGGGAGCAGTCCAGCCCTGGATCAACTGGAAGTGAAGAAACCAGTTTACTTTTGATGACAGAAAAGGCACAGACTTCCTCTCTTAATCCCTGGAGAGCACCCCCACCTCCCCGCCCCAACCTATTTAGCAATGAAAGGGAATCTATAGTTCCAACTTTTCTTACTACAGCAGCTCCCCCTACATCCTGCTTCCTCTTTCCTTGTCCCTATGAGCTCATTCCCCTGCCCCTGTCACTCCCCTCTCAAAATAGTTCTTTCTTTTTTTTTTTTTTATTCTTTATTTATACAAGCACTGGGTACAGTCAGAAGCGCAGGAGGGTGAGAGAATTCACCAGAGCCAGAGCAGGGAGCAGAACAGGCAGAAGGACCGAAGTACACTGCTGAGGGGAGCAGGGGGCTGCAGGAGAGGTCTGCACGCCATGCGGGACCCTCCTCCGGTGGCCGGGGAGCAGCTGGGCATTGAACAGCGCTGCAGAGGCTGCGGGCAGCTTCGCAACCTAGCGCTCAACCCCTGCACCACCGGGGAGGCCCCTAATTTTTTTTTTAAATTTACTTTTGCATAGAAAAACTGGGGCATAGGGTAGAGGTGTGAGACTTCGAGAGGCTTCACCAAGGACAAGAATGGGGAACAGAACAGGTGGATTTACTGAAATGCACGGCTGAGGGGAGCAGCGGGTGAGACATGAGAGGTCTGCTGTGCCAGATGTGAGTTTGCTCTCTGCCCAGGGATTGAACTCAGGCTGTCAAGGTGATATCGCTGAGACTTAACCCCTAGGCCTCCAGGGAGGCCCCTCAAATAAGTTCTTCCCAGACAAAAGTTTCAGTCCAGAACGAATCTGGTGATAATTAACCCTAAGCCAGTAGTTGGCCTCCTGCCCTGTGACTTTGATCTGTCCCTGCCCCATTCTTTGTGCAGGGAGTGAGGAGCTGTGTCATTTCTGTCCCATTTGACAGCATCACCATGTGGCTTCTCTCACAGAAGGGTCCCAGGGGCTTCTGCACTGTAGTGCTCCAGGCTTTTGGGAGGGGCCAGCAGTCTGAGGAGATGAAACCTAAGTATGCTTTCAGCCTCTCTGTACTTGTATTTCTGCTCTAATGTTTATCGTCAGGCCCCATGTTGAACATAAGATTAGCACAGAGTCCTGGGGGAAGTTAGTTTTAAGAGATGAAGGGGTTGCTTGTGTGGTTCCCACCTCTCACTGCTAGGCTGTAGCCACAGACCTCCTCTCCTGGTCTCTCCACCTCTCTCCCGCAACCTGTCTTTCTTTCATTCTTCAGAACTCAGCTCAGAGGTTGCTCTGAAATAAAGGACATTTCTCAGATCTTCCTCACTGTGCCAGATATCCTTGTTAAAACTTCTTGTTGCACTGAATTGCACACTTAAAAATGGCAAAAACAGTAAATCATGTATATTTAATTACACAAATGTATTGCTTGTTTTTCTTTCTGGCACTTTCCGAGTTGTAAATAGTACTTTTATACATTTATAGTTTACAGTCTCCTCCCTGATTAGCATTCAAGTTCAGTGTCAGGGAGTGACACTCACCTGTCTTGTTACAACACAGTGCTGTGCGGGAGTGTAGCGGGTCCTTAGAAACTGCTTGTTGAAGGGAAACAAATTGGAAGACAGACCAAAAGTCACAGTTTCAGCTTTTCCCTGAATCATCTCCTATCTTGTGCCTTTGTCTTTCTTCAAGCTCAGTATTCCAAGGTTGTCCAGTAAATACTTAATGGCTGACTGGTGGTTTTACACTTGACATCATATTAATAGTCTCAAAGATTTTATCACCTATTCTTTTCTTAAATTTCATTTATGTGTGGCCATATGCCTTTGACCATTATGTGGCTGATTCTGCTGTGTCCTCATCCGTCACAGGGCAGTTTGCTGCCCGCACAGAGTGAGCAGATTGTGTGAGGTTCTGGAACATTCCACCTGTGCCCTCATAAATTCACTTTAGAGATGGGCAAATGCTTCCAATTATGTCTGTTCAGTCTGACTCCCCATGTCTAGGTATTGTGCCGTGGTGAGGAGGGGAGAAGTCTTGGGCTTAGTCATCAGTCTTTTATCAAAATCAGTGACATGACAGTCACTGAGAATTCTGAGATGAGTTGCACAAAGGTTCTGTCCATTACCACTGCCCTTTGGACTTCAGAGTCACAGTTGGTGAATGTTCTGTTGCACTTAGAACCAAGAGATTTAAAAATCTCAGCTTTTTTTTTATTGACAAGAATATCTTCTCTATTCCTATAGTTTCTAAGGTGTATTCCAGGAAGCCCCAGGAGCATGGTTCCAAACTCGCCCTCGCGTTGTTTTCCCTCAGGTTCCTCTTGATGATGGGTGTGCTTTTCTGCTGTGGAGCTGGCTTCTTTATCCGGAGGCGCATGTACCCCCCACCGCTGATCGAAGAACCTGCGTTCAACGTGTCCTACACCAGACAGCCACCGAACCCCACTGCAGGTCAGCCAACCCCTGTGTCTTTGTCTCCCCCTCCAGTTTATGTGTCCTCTGCAAACCTTTGAAAAGGGAACTGTTGCAAAATATGCTAGGAGAAAAAGTTGAGGCCGTATTTATTCGTTTAGGTTCCAATGATCAACTTCATTGTAGCTTTGTACGGATAAAAAGTGGTATATATGCACAATGGAATGCTATTCATCAATCAAAAAAGATAAGCTCATGCCATTCACAGCAACATGGATGGAGCTAGAAGGAATTATGCTCAGTGAAATAAGTCAGAAGGAAAAAGAAAAATATTGGATGGTTTCACTTATAGGAGGAATATAGGGCAACCACATAAGACATCAGGGGAAAAATAATAACAATATAAAACAAAACAAAACAAAACAAAAACAAAAACAGACAATTATAAACCAGAGACATCCTGCAGTGGAGGAGGAGGGAGAGGGACCAGAGAAAGGGAGGAAGGAGCACAGGGGACTGAGGTGATGGTGCACGGGTGCATTGGTGAAGGAAACTTTATGGGGACTGCACCTGGGGTGGGGGGAAGCAAACTGTTTAAAAATGAACAATGATGTAAAGTATATATAAATTTTTTTTTAAAAAGTGCAATAGATACTGAATTGAATGTCTTTCTCCTCACTTGCCTCATTATTAGTGAACTTTTTATGAATACTTACGCAGTTTGTATGTACATACTTTTTGCTCTCTTCTTTTTTCTTTAAAAATTACCTTGTGTACATTTCTGTATAGACGGTAATGTCCCTGCCATTCTTAATGCTTCTCAGTTAATAAGCATTATGACTAAATGGTAATTTGCTTTAATGTTCTTTCATGGTTGTTCATTTGCATTCTATTGTTTTTTATTCATTCATTCCAGTATTTCTTACACATTTACAAGTATTCTGAGTACTTGTAAATATTGTTGCTATGGACATTTTTTTTTAACAAGTTACATCATTTGGTCTGTCTAAGGGACATTATCCAAAGTAATGTCCCAGAGTCAAAAAGAATTAGTGGTTTCTTAGTTAAAGTGGTGTTTTTAAGAGCTATCTAAAATTCTCATGTACAGGTGGGTGAATGCAGCCCTTCCCCAAGATATGGGCTAGTTTCCTATTTTTGACATTATGTGTGAGAGGTTTTCCTTCCCTTGAAGGGAACTTTTGAGGAGGACGGGAGCCCGGACCGCTGGAGGCCTGGTCAGCATGCCTGTGGCAGTGCCTGTCATCCGGCCAGCTAGTGGAGAAGCTGGGCACCATGACTCTGCTGCAGCACAGCCTGGGTGGGGCAGGAGGTGGGATAGCTCTTGAGTCATCCACACTGCAGGTGGACAGTCAGAGTTCTCGGAGACATCCCTGACTTGGTTTTCATAGTTTCAGTTCTGCAAGATAAACGGGTCCTGGAGGCCTCATATGCTGCATAGGACCTAGATTAGTGGTACTGGAGTGCATACTTAAAACTCTGCTGAGAGGGTAGATCTTAAGTGTTCTTATTCTTCTTTATAGTCATAATATGAAGAGGGCACTGGGAAACCTATGGGGATGATGGATATGTTTATGGTATAGAAATGTGGTGATAGTTTCTCAGTATGTATTTATCTCCAAATTCATTAAGCTGTATACATTAAATATGTACAGTTTTTTGTATGTCAATCATGCCTGAAAAAAATGGTTTAAAAAATCAAGAGTAGGGGAGTAAGTTTAAAAGGAGAAGCGTTTCTCTCTTCTGTTCTTTTGAAGATAGGTTCTCAAAATTCAGAGAGTGGAGCTGTTCATTTGTTGATTTGTTCTTCTATAGTTTTCTTCCACGAAATAAAAACTCTAGGGTTTTCTTTTCGAAAAGAATCATTTTTTAAAATTTAAGTTAAAAATTTAAGAATTGTAGTATCTTGTATTGAGGTAACATTGGTTTACAACACTGAGTTTGATTTAGGGGTATAGGCTCATACTTCACATGGATGTTACATACGACACCCACCAACAAAACACCTCAATCCTCCATAGACCATCGGGCCCTTCACTTTACTCCTCCTCCTCCCCCTCTGCTAGCCTCAGTTCTACAGATTTTTGGGATTTGTTTTGTCTGTCATTTGTTTTATTTTATTTCTTTATATTCTACACATGAGTGAAATTATCTAGTATTTGTCTTTCTCACTTTTTGCTTACCATAATCCCCTCCACATCCATCCATGTCATCACAACTGGCAAGATTTCTAAAAGAATCATCTTTATTATTTTTTAAATGTTTCTCAGAAAGATCAGAGTATGTATTTCTCACAACAGTTCTGACTTTGCTGTCCCTTAAACTTTCAGGGTTAGTGCCACTTTTCACACTTAAGTGAATTTTTATTCATTCATCTTTGGGCATATTTGAATAGTTTCAAATGTGTGCTCTAGCATAGAATGAAGTGCCAAAGCTCATTAGGTTTTATCTGAATTAGTTGAGTTTTCAGTTCTTGCATTTTTTATTTCAAGAAGGAGACGGATCAGAATAAAGGATAATAAAAGACGTGAGTCTCCTCATTCTATCTTCTCTACCTGGATTTTTTAGCATGTCCCCCATGGCCACAGATGCAGGATGGCACGTGTCCTTGGTCCCCAGTGCTAAACAGGGGTCAGGTTTGCCACACAGTCCCCCTGAACTCAGCATCTTGGTGTTTCCAAATGGGAGTGTATCCCCTCTGGTCCCCTGTGCCTGTTCTCCTCATTTTCTTGTCTTCCTAGTCCCCTTATCAACCATGCCCCATAAACAGGTCCTCAGATCCCACCACATCTTCAGATCTTGTCTCACCCCAGCTGCTGGTTTCTTTCAGCTCTCCTCTGACTTCCTCATTGCCTCCATGAAGTCTTTTTTAAAGAACAAAATACACAGTCATGTTGTCCTTTTGCAGGGTCACTTTGCTCTTTGGTCCAGATGCTTCACCAGGGACCAGGCACATCCTTCTTGTTAGTTACTTGCTTGTCTTCATGCCTGGTGTGAGCGGCCTGCTCTCAAGGCCTGCCTCCTTCCTGGACTCCTGCACCCGCCCTCACTGCTTGGAAATAATCCCAGGCATATCCCTTCCTCTGCTTTCTCTCCTGGGTGTTCTGCCAGGGCTCAACAGCACTTACTATGGTGAGTTTGGGTCCCTCATGGCTACTTTGGACCCCCTCCAGCCAGCAGGACTCCAGTCTCAGGCTCTGAGCCAACGTCTGTCTGCCAGCTGAGGGAATTGGTAACCTGAGGTCGTGGCCAGACTGGGGCCTGGAGCCCAGGCCTTCCTGACTCGCTCCTTCAGCCCATGTACCGCTCACCTGCTGAGGTGCTGCAGGTACTGGGGTCCCAGTGCACAGCTTGCCCCTTGGTGTGTTACATGGTTCACAAGTCCATGTCTGGTAGCTTTGTGCAATTGCACAGATAACTGCACAGTCACTGACTGGGTGAGAGTGGTGGGGGAGAAGTTCAGGTGCTGGGAAGCCATCGGTGTGTAGTACACTCAGGCAGGCTTCCCCGTGGGAGCGCCTGAGGAGTATGTGAGAAGAGTTAAGTGGGAGCTGAGGAAGGGAATGAAGCTCTGCTTTCTTCCTTGTTCTTTAATGTGCTCACCACACTCCTGACTGCAGACTCCAAGGGGCTGTGCCCTGTGCCCCGTGGCACAGCACAGCTGCAGGGTGCTTTTGAATGTGAGAGAAATGTAAAAAACAATAGCAGGGACCTAATAACAAACAGGAGTCCCTCTGCAAATGGCAGAGCACTTGGGCCCAGCACAGTCCCACGTGCCTTGGGTAGCGGGTAGTTTGACTCTGCTGTGTGGTGTCATAGGGGGGCAGTCAGAGAGAGGGAGCATTTGCCATTAAGCTGGTGAAATGGGTGTTCACCTCCTGTTGGGAGACGTTGACTTGGGTGCCTGCACCTCTCTAGAGTCCACTGCTGCTTGCCCCACTCTCATCTCATTCTCTGGCGAAATGTATATTTGTTTCACCTCATGTTTCCAGCTGTGTGCTTCTTACAGACCTGTAACAGTAAGAAATCCCAAAATAGACTGGAGCATCATAAGCAAACAAGGCTTGCTTTGTTCCATGGGAGTATACAATTTCCATATTTCCATGAGAAAACCGAGCACTCTGCCACTTGTTAACAGCTCTAATGTGGGAAAACTTAATTTTTAAAAAAAATTTTCGCATAGAAGAACTGGGGTGTAGGCCAGAGGTGTGGGGGAGGGGGTGAGAGGAGTACCAGAGACAGAGTAGGGAGCAGAATGGGCAGATCTCCTGAAATACACTGCTGAGGAGGGCAGCAGGAGGGACAGGAGAGGTCTGCTGTGCCATATGTGGGTTAGCTCCCTGGGTGGGGATTAAATTCAGGCTGTAGTGGTGATAGTGCTGAGTCTTAACCCCTAGGCCACCAGGGAGGCCCAAAACTTAATTGCTTTGATTTGGGGCTTTAAAACTAATAATACTGAATAATAAAAAAAAAAAAAGTAGGGTTGGTTAGTGTCTCAGTGATTCCTGTGTGGATCCCCAATTTCCTCTCCATGTGTGGGATTCCTTCCTCTACAACTGTTTGCTGAGGTCTCTACCCTGGGGCACTGAGCCCTTGCAGTGTGAGCTGTAAGAGGAAGGTGTTTGATAATCTGGGAAGAGAGGAATCCAGTGCGCTGACTTTCTAGGTGGGTCCAGAGGATGAGTGCCCTGACTGGAGGAGCTTGGACTGTGTGGAGGAGCACCGGGGTACACCCAGCAAGGATAAGGATAGTCCTTGTGGGTTTGCTGGATTGCTGTGTTTCTCTTCTGCCAGCCTGGGGGAGGGGAAGTGGATTCTGGTGATTGATCGTTGCTTATTCATGAAAAAGAAAAGGCACTTGTCTCATGAATGGAGGGAGGGGATAGCAGCTCACCCTGCTCTGCAAAGGTGTCACTCAGGGCAGAAGAGCGAGCATTGCTTGTTACAAAGATGCTCATAATTAGGGATGCAAAAGATATGGAGTGTCATGGTTCTGGGAGTTGGTATGGGTTGGAGCAGGG